TAATTGGTCAATCAACAAAATTGCATGGGTTAAATTTTTGTGTTCCCTCCTGTTAATTTTGTGTTCCCAGTACGTTCTCTCCTGTTCTTGTGTATACAAGGCTAATATGACTGCACACCCTGATGATACAATGATGCTACAGAATTTTTAGGGGGGGACAAGGCCCTGAGATTTACCGAGACTGCATCAATCGTCAATGACACTTTCACTAATCTTCCCTCACAGCACCCAGACCAGAGAAGGCTGCTGGCACGCTAGCCGAAAAGTTACCTGCAATGACCCTACCTCTAGGGCAAGGATGGCACTGTGACCAAGCTGTCGCAACTCTGCTGATGAATTGTAGTGCCATGTAATATCCAGATCCATCAAAGCAATGAGAACCTGCAACTTGTTTCAAGCACAGGAGGTCACAATTCAAAGCAGGGTTTGTGGCCCTGAAATTGCACTTGGACTCTGATGTTAAGAGGAAAGTTGTAAAATAGTGTTCGTTTTGTATAATCATTTTCCTAAATTCTCTGTTTCTCTGACATTAACTAACCAATTTATAATTTTGGGTAGGGGACTGGATGGGGTTTTGCCCAATCAGTTCTCTGCCCTTTAGATTAAAATTATTGCATGATTATATACATCTTTGTCAGCAATATGGCCAACAAGAAAAGCCATAAAAATGGTTCAGATTTTGTTAGGTACATTTCATATTAGGGTTCCTAACCATAATTATAACTCCATATTCAAATATTTGTAAATCCAAAATTACGAATTTCGAATATTATTTTGGATACTTGTAATTATTTTGGATACTTGTAATTATTATGGATGCTCATAATTATTATGGATACTCGTAATTATTTTGGATACTTGTAATTATTTTGGATACTTGTAATTATTATGGATACTTGTAATTATTAATTATTTCAGATATTTCAAATACTTTATTTAAAATATTTCAAATACTTGTATTTAAATATTCAACAAATCACAAATGTATCTATTAAATTATATTTGCTATAAAAGAAAAAAACATTTAAAATTTAAGAAAATGGTTGAACTTTTTTTAAATTACATTTCAGAAATACCATCTTTCTCACTTGTTCAGGTTTTAGATTAGTCCTTTTGGCAGTAATAATATTTTCTACATCACTAAATAATCTCTCAGAAGCAACAGATGTAGCTGAGATGCATAAAAATTTTTTTGCCAATTTTGTTAAAATGTGAAAATTATTTTTGTTTCCATTCCACCATTTAAAAGGATCAATATCATTACTTACATTACTAGAAAGATAATGTGATATTTCATTATAATTACCAACCACATCATTATCAGGTTGCAATATTTGTTTTAAAATAGAAACATTATTCAAATCATGATCACTAAAGTGTTGCCAAATGAAACTCTCACAAGGCCTACCTCTCTTATAATGATTTTTTTGGCTGGTAGTGGTTGATGAATTATTTGGTAATGGCAAAATGGATGATAAGGTTTCAGAATCAGTTGTTGAATATCCTTAATATTCTTCATAAACTTGAGTTGGCTCATCTTCTAATGTTAAATCAATTGAACCATTCATATTTGAAAGTTGAGAAACTCAAGAATGAGAAAGAGTTATTTTATAAATGAAAACGTTTCTGAAAAAATATTTAAATTGTTGTAGCAATATAAGTTATTTTTTTATTATCTTTAAATAAAGTTAGTACTATTTGTTATCAATCGATAATCATTTGTAAGTATCCAAAAATAATTGAGTATCCATAATAATTACAAGTATCCAAAATAATTACAAGTATCCATAATAATTATGAGTATCCAAAATAATTACAAGTATCCATAATAATTATGAGTATCCAAAAATAATTACGAGTATCCATAATAATTACGAGTATCCATAATAATTATGAAATAAATTATATATATTCAAATATCCTTGAATAAATTGATTTTTGAATATTCGTAAAAAATTTGATTTTGGTTAGGAACACTACTCCATGAATTCTTATTTTGTGTACTATTCAAATTTAAGATATTCTGCAAAAATCTTAAAAATACATTATGACAAGAATTTAATTATAGTCTGCTGTGATAAGGTTTGGCTGTATTTTTATTTAACACAGAATTATAATCACAAAATACAATTCATAAAGAAAAAAATAAATATAGATAATAGGTAATTTAATAAAATTTTTATCTCTTATTGTTTTAATATGTTTGCAAATTTGTTTATTCTTTAGTGTCGAAGGGTTTAATCTCCAGAACCTCCGAAAGAATAAGAGTAGCAAGCTCACACAAACTAATTCCTTAGCAGTATCTCAAGAAAGTTCAATGATGTATTTTTATCTGCAAAAGTTCCATTTATGGAACCTTTCAGACTGTCACCCAGGTCAACATTTTAAGGTATTTTAATTTTGTTTTTAACATCACTCTTTTCCATATGATTCACCAAGAATATCTTTATGGTTCTCAGCACTGGAAGTGAAAACACTTTGACAAACTGACACCTCATAGTTAATTTCACCACCAGTGTGTAAAATTCAATGGTGACATAATCTAAAGTTTGATGTAAAATATTTATTACTTAAAAAGTTATGATAGTTTGAATATTAGTAACTTTCTATATTTAATTTTCTTTGATGATAGTTTAGGAGATGATCATTCCCTATTTAAAGAATATTATTTCTTGAATTAGAAATGATATTCTAAAATATGAAATTTTTCCAGATTTTGCTATAGTGGTTGAGTTTAGATGACTCAAGCTCTACACTACATATAATTATTCAAATTAGTATAGCTAGTGTAATCACAATATAAATAATCACAAAAATGTTTGTAGATGGCTTCCTAGAAGTAACAAAGCCTCTTGAAAGGTGATGATTAGTTATTTTATAAACTAAAGAAGGCAATTTGTATGAGTTAATATCATTAGATGAAGTTTTAGTAATCAAAGGACACTGATTTCGTGCTTGATGTAGTGGTAGTATGAGGTTGTCACTGTATGTAAATGTTTAAAGTTGGTGTCTGTGACTGTTTTCACATTTTTTGCAACTGCAGGTTTTAAAGCTTGAGTTGCAACCTTTCCTGCAACCTCTGCAACCCCTGAAACTGTCTGCAACTATAATTATGATGACTTAGTATCAAATGGAATCACATGGGATTTATTGTTTTTAAATAAAATCATTAATTAAAAATTTTTTTGATAAAAATAAATTTGGTTTATAGTGATTGAAGTTAATGATGGTGGCCGAAACTAACCCATAGTTTAGGCATTTAGGCAATTTCGGTTTAGGCCTAGTTTCGCCCATGAAGTTTTTCTGGCGAAATTGGCAAAACTTAAAAATTGCCTAAACCGTGGGCGAAACTCCTAAACCGTGGGCGAAACTCCTAAACCGTGGGCGAAACTCCTAAACTGTGGGCGAAACTCCTAAACTGTGGGCGAAACTCCTAAA